AGCATGCCCTCCCCATTGGGCATCCTCACTTCCTAATAAGTTCCCTGGCACATAGTAGGTACTCGAGTGCTTGCTGCCCAGCAGTCCCACTAGACAGAGCACTACAAGATAGAGCACAATGAGAACACCTTGGAATGTGGGCAAGTGAAGACTGTACTCCAGTGGATTTTTCTGGGAAATGACACTAACAAAAAGCATATGTCATCTGGTTTAAGGCTCCCTGTTCACAGTCTGGCTCCTCTGCCTTTTGGTGATCATGGTGGTACCACTTGGTGGGGGGAGGGGGGACAGTGAGGGTGGATTCAGGCTGTTAGTCACCAAAGGCTCCCAGAGTTTAGGTTATTCTCACTGGCAAGACGTTCCTCCTCCCTCTCAACATCCCCCTCTACATTCACAGGCTCCCACTATTTTTCACTGAGAGAGCAAAGCTTTGGTCTGCATCACCATAGCAACCGGAAGCCAGCCAGAATAAGAGGGTGAGACAGCCATTTGACACCAAAGCTTAGTGTGGTGTCTGTTGGAGAGGGCTTGACTTTTGGGAGGAAAGTACGTTAACCGTTAGCTGGAGAGAAGTCGGCCACTAGGCTTCTCAGTGGCCCAACACACTCTCACCACATCCTTCATTCCTGTGCCTCCAGGTGAGGAGGGGTATCCAGAACCACCTTTGTTCCCTGTGGAAGCCAAGTCCCGTGTTTGCACCAGAATATGCGTGCTCTGCCCTAGGCCCTGACAAGAGTACCAAGGACCAGATACACCCCTACCGCACCTTGTTACCAAACAAACACACGTGAGTGAATATGTACCTGTTCCATGTGTGCATTCCCATGACTGCACCTCCTGTGCCTAGAACAGTGTCAGAAATATGGCCGGGGACATTGATGCAAACGCATACACTTCCCCAGTCCACTCACTCCATCTCAGGCACTGAAGTTCACATCTTTATCTTCTTTCCTCAAGCCTCCATCTACTAGTCGAATGGCCACAGTCTGGGTTTATGACACTGAAAATGTGAAAGGAAAGACCTTACAAAGCTTTCCACCTGCCTGCATCTGAGACTAGATACTCTGCCTTCCTTCTTGTCGCTATGGATGAACTGTCCACACTCGTATCAAACCCCAGCCTTTCAGTTGGGCAGCAGATTCTACCCCTTTATGATGAGTAAATGCAGGGACCCAGCAGCGCTCTCAAGGCTCTCTCCCACATCGCCAATTAGCGCTTCCTTGCTGGATGATTTGCATCAGTACACAAACACTCTGGGAATTCCCTCATCTTAAAAAGAAACAAGAAAGAGAGAAACAAACAAAAACCCCACCTTAACTGCACAATCCCCTCTATCTACACCACCAGCATCTCTCTCTATTTGCCCTTTACAGCAGACCTCCTAAAAATCATTAACTCTTTTTGATATTTCCACTTCCTCTATTCCCATTTTCTCTAAAACCACCTCAAGCAAGCATTTGTTCCCACTAATCCAGTGAAACAGCTCTTCTCAAGGCCTCCAACGACCTGCACGTTGCTAAATCCATTGGTCATTTCTCTGCTGGTATTTCTTGACTGATCAGTAGCACTTGGCACTGTTGATCACTTCCTCTTCCCTGCAATACTTTCTTCAGTTGGTTTCCAGGACATTTCTGTCCCTTGGCTGCCATTCTGCCTCAGGGTCTGCTACTTTTCAATGTCCTGGCTGGTCACTCTGTGTCTCCTTGACCTCTCTGCATTGAAGTGCTCTAGGTTTTGACTCTCAGGTTTCTTCCCTTCCCTACCTATGCTCACTTCCTGCAAAATCATACGTAGTTCCATCACTTTGATCCCATGCGTGAATAGAAGAATCACACATTGGTATTTCAAGCGCAGTCTTATCCCTGAACTGCAGGCTCATATATTCAGTTGCTTGCTCAACATTGCCTCTTGGATGTCGAATATTCACCTCAAATTAAAGTTTATCATACACAGAGCAAAGCCCTTGATTCCCCCTCCCATAAACCTGCTCCTCCTATCATTTCCCCCATCTTAGGGCATAGAAACTCCATCCTTGTACTTGTTCACGTCAGAAATCCTTGGAAGCACCGTTGGATTCCTCTCATTCTCACCCACATTCATGGATACTGTCCTTCTGCCTTCAGCATAGACTCCAAATCCTCACACTTCTCCACATGTACCACCCTGATACAATCTACCACCATCTGCTACCTCTGTTATTGCAATACCCTCCTACTTGGACCACTGTTACTATATTACCTCTACTATCGCCACACCAGACTAAGCCTTTACTATGTGTCACTTCTCTGCTCAGAACCCTCCAGTGGTTTCCTGTCACGCACATTCTATGGCCTCCTGAACGCTGTAACATCCCATTAACTCCTAACTCATCTCCTGTTAAAATCCTTTCCTTTGCAAGCTTCCAGACAAAGGAGCATTCTTGCTGTTCCTTGAACACCACAACCAGGGGAGGAAAAGGTGTTACCACAGACCTAGTGCTGAGGGCTGTGCTTCTCTGCAGCCCAGAAGCAGGACAGGGCCTTTTGCATTAAAATGTCCACAGGGGTGTGGCACGGTGAAGAAGGAGCGTATTGGTGGGGACCCTCTGCCCAAGGGCCTGGCCTCCAGATACTGGGATGAGGGGGCATGAGAGAGTCCCACCCTGAATATCTATGTATATGAGCAATCTTAGTAATGTCAGTTCTCTTTCAACAACCCAGCCAGCAGACGAGTTACACATTTACATACATGTGCTGGCATGTTGACTTCTCATAGACTTGCACACGTGATTACATGTTTGTGGGAGAAACGTTTTCTCCCTAAACCTCATGCAAGCTTGTGGAAGCCCATTTCGTTCCAACGACTTTGCATGTGGATGACGGAGACTATTGTGGTATTAGATGGCAGGCTGTATGCACACAGCGGAGGATCTATATGTGCAGGCTTAGAAGCACAATCACACACATCCATGCCAGCCCAGCCTTGCCCTCTTTGTGCTTTGAGTTGAACTGCAATGAGACACTTCAGAGTGGTGACAACTGTAGCCAACTGTAGAGTCATTCAAATTCAAATCTTTAAAATTATCCTATAGAACAAATGAAACTCATCCTCAAGGCAAGTCATGGGTTTTCTACCCCCTGTAAAAGCAAAGGAAGCCAGGGTCAAACCAGAGATGACAGCTACACGAAGGTAGTTTTACAGCAAACGTTGTACAGCCTGCCCAGAAGACAAGCCCTGTATGTTCTTAGTTTCCTTTTGCCCCATTTCCAATTCTCTTCTCACTCTATGGTTGGAACTGCCCAGCAACCATAGACTGTTAGAATCATAGGCTATAGTGTGGAAAGACAACTAGAATGGGGGTGGGAGGTCATGGGTCGTCGGTTTGAGTCTTAAAATTGCCCCACCTTACCCTTTGCCCTCAGGCATTTCTCTTTGCTCCCTGAAATCTGGGAACCTCCACTTGCAAAATGAGAGGACTGGGTTTGTGGCAGATAGCATTGCACTATATGATCTCCAGATGTCTCATGTGGGTCAAACATTCTCTGAGCCACTAAAGTATCACTTGACAGGAAACGCTCTAGCAGGTTTGGAGGGCTTTGGACTTTCAGCTCTGCTAGAATATATTGGCCAAAATATTAGATCCTATCTGTTTGGCCAAGGGATTGTTATCAAGTTTGTATTGTGACTGTCAAAGAACAAACCACTTAGGCTTTCACCTAGGCAGCTGAAGAAATTTACCCAAGCAAGAAAGAGCATCAGGATCTGGGCCAATAGCCTTTGGGTTGTAGGAGGCCCCAACAGCTGCCTCTGTTCCGTAAGGCCAATGCATGCCTCACCGTCAGCAGTGTAGAGGAGAAAAGTAGTGGGTTGAATTCTGAGCTGTCTACTCCATCACTACTCACACCCTTCTCTTCTCTCTGGAGTAGCTAAGTAACTAGCAGCGGTGAAAGACAGAGAAACAGAGTCTACTGTGAAAATGATAAATCACTGCAGAGAGAGGAAAGGGAGAATGGGTAGCTAAATGATAAGTCCCTCAAGTTCTTCCCTAGCTATTTATATACTAGGAATTTTTAACTCTCACACATTCGATTTGGTGATTTAAGTTTTCCTACATAATTCCTTCTTTAATCTAGGTTTTCAAATACATTTGCATAGCGCTTTCTTTTTTGTCTCTCAATTTCTTCTCTACTGCTGCATTAAAATCAAACAAAGAAACACACAAAAATTACCTGCATGTCCCAATTTATAAAGAACATATTATGGGTGACAGTGTAAAGTGCAGTTTCAAGGAATTAGAAATTAAAAATTTGAATTGAGATCCAAGTGAGAGTAACCCATTTGCTTCAGCTCTCTAAACTGTAATGACCTTTGGGTTTTCA